CGTTATTTAGTAGGCATTTATAAATAATGTTTAGGAATGTCATGTATGCGTTATTTAGTAGGAAAAAATAAAAACCTTGTAAAATCTAAATTAAATCTATTATTTTGAAACTGAATTAGTGTATTGTAAAATTATAATTTATATTTTTTAGAGTACAGTATTATTAATTTTTTAAAAGTTCGCCGAATAATAAAATTTTTATCCGGGATTAGCCGGTACTCTATCTGGGGTATGATCGACAATTTTTCCGGGGGTGTCTGCTACGCCCAATTTTTATCGTCACACGCGAAATCTATCAGGTGACATCTGATCTGCATTTAAATGTGAAACAAAAATAATGATACGTATTTTTCGTTACCATTTTACCATTCACACGCGTTATCGTTAGTTATCGTTCTCATTTAAAATATAAAGTAAAGTCAATCACACGCGTTATCGTTACAGTATATCGTTACAATACAGAATAAAGTCATGGCAAGTGATTTAGAAGAATGGATCCAAAGCTATATCAGAAATGGACATATTAATTATCTTGGGCATGATAAGCCGTTTACGAACACCATAAGAATTGGTAGGGGAAGTTACGGACCGGTTTATAAGTACGAATGGAAAGAACGCAGAATAACAGTCACTCTTAAATGTCTCAAAGTCAATGCACATAAACGTTCAAATGAAGAACTTATTAAAGGTTTTATTAATGAGGTATTGTGTATTCTATTAAAACTTGAACTATTTTTCTATTGTATTAAATTATATGTTAACTATAATTCACGTAACATAAAAGCTTAAACTATTACTAAGTATTCATTACCATCCAAATATTATTTCATTTTATGGACTCACCAAAGGTATGTATTCGGACTATAACTTTTGATAATATAAAATAATTGTCGAAGAACATTCATTATAATTATTAAATTTATTAATTTTATTATAAATAAATAGACCATCATGGATTTTATAATATGGTCTTTCAACACGCTGATGATGGAAATTTACGAGAATACCTGAGAGAAAATTTTATGATGTTGCAGTGGACAAAGAAATTATGTATTGCTAGAGAAATAATTCTAGGGCTCTTATATTTGCATGATAATAATATTGTTCATAAGAATCTTGTAAGTAATTATCACGGTTTGAATTTTTTTTATTATTTACTAATACACTATTTATTTTTCATTAATATATTGTTTATTTTTCATTAATACATTGTTTATTTTCATTAATATATTGCTTATTTTTCATTAATACATTTTATTTTTCTTATAGCATTCGAAAAATATATTAATGCATCAAGGACAACCAAAGATTGCAGATTTTGGGCAGTCAGATTCAATTGTTCGTAAAATGACCGCATATATGGATCCTAAATGTTTTAATTACTCAAGATTCAAGTATAAGCATAATAAAAAATCGGATGTGTATAGTTTGGGAATGATTCTTTGGGAAATTTCCAGCGGTATTCCACCTTTCCAATCATTTAGATCGGAACATTCACTCGTTCATCATGTTTCTAAAGGAACTAGGGAAGATCCAATTGAAGGCACACCACTTAAATATGTTAAACTTTATAAGGAATGTTGGGATGGGACTCCTAATAATCGTCCAGCAACGAGAACTGTATATGAAATTTTAGAAAGTCTTATTCCGACCGAAATTTTAAATCAACGTCAAAATTTATGTCAACGTCAAAATTTATATCAACATCTTCCTGTTCAGACCATTTTCTCGAATCAACAAAATAGAATCACAACACCTTTGTGTGATTATAGGAATATACCGACCGAAATTTTAAGTCAACGTTTTCCTAATCAGATGATTTTCTCGAATCAACAAAGTAACATCACAGCATTTTTGCGTGATTATATGAATATTTCTTCAAGTGAGAATCAGATAATTTTCTCGAATCAACAAAGTAACTTCATGGCATCTTTGCGTGATTATACGAATATATCTGCAAGTGGGAATCAGTTCATTTTCTCGAATCAACAAAGTAACATCACATCATCTTTACGTGATTATACGAATATAACTGCGAGTGAAAATCAGACCATTTTCTCGAATCAACAAAATAACATCGCAGCATCTTTGCGTGATTATACAAATATATCTGCGAGTGAAAATCAGCCTATTTTCTCGAATCAACAAGGTAAATCTACAGCATCTTTACATGATAATAGGAATATACCTGCGAGTGAGAATCGGACCATTTCCTCGAATCGTCAACAAGGTAAAATCACAGCATCTTTACGTGATAATAGGAATATACCTACGAGTGAGAATCGGACCATTTTCTCGAATCGTCAACATGGTAAAACCACAGCATCTTTACGTGGTAATGAGAATATGCCTGCAAGTGGGAATAAGAAAATGGCTGAAATTAAGCATAATATTGTGATTAAAAGAAAGGAAGCGCGTAAATGTTTTGATGAAGGCAAATTTTTCGAAGCATTAGAGCTTTATGAAGAAATTATCAAGAAAAAAATCAATCCAAGTTCAAATGATAAAGATGCAGCATCAAATTGGATTATTCTTCGTAAATGTAGTGCAAAAGAAATAATTGGGTTGACAAAAGCGCTTTCCAAGAACATTCTACTGACTTCTTTAGATATTCGGAATAATACCATTGGATCAAAGGAGGGAAAATTATTAGCAAATGCGCTTTGCAATAACACTGTTTTAACTTCTCTGAATCTTTGTGATAATAAACTCAAGTCAGAGGGAGGGAGTGCACTAGCAGAAGCGCTTTGCAAAAATACCTCATTGATTTATTTGAATATTCGTGATAATAATATAGGATCAGAGGGTGGAAAAGCGATGGCAGTAGCACTTTCCAGAAATACTTCTCTGAAACTTCTAGATCTTTGTAACAACAAGCTTGGATTCAAGGGTGGAAAAGCAATAGCTGAGGCGCTTTGCAGAAACACTACCTTGACATCTCTGAATCTTTGTGATAATGATATTGGATCAAGGGGGGGAGAAGTATTAGCCAGAGCGCTTTGCTATAACATGGCATTGAACTCTTTGAATCTTGAAGAGAATCAACTTGGACCAAGAGGAGGAAGGGCATTGGCGGAGGCACTTTGTTGGAACACTACACTAAAATCTTTAAATATTTCGTGTAATAAAATTGGATCAGAGGGAGGAAGTTCATTTGCCGGAGCGCTTCGTAGGAACCGTACACTAAGTTCTTTAGATCTTAAACGAAATGAGCTTGGACCAAGGGGAGGACAAGCATTAGCGGAGGCACTTGGTAGAAACAAATCTCTCACTTCTTTGGATCTTTGTGAGAATGAACTTGGATCTAAAGAAGGAAAAGCGTTTGCAACGGTACTGTCCCAAAACAAAATACTATCTTCCTTAAGCCTTCAGTTTAATCCAATTGGATCAGAAGGAGGCAAAGCGATAGCAAATGCACTTTACAAAAATACTACCCTGACTTATTTGGATCTTTCAAATGTCCAACTTGGATTAGAGGGAGGAGAGGCGTTGACAAAAACACTTTCCAAAAACAAATCAATAACTTCTTTAGTTATTCGATATAATGGTTTTAGTTTTGAAACAAAAGAAAGATTCAAAAATTCGACAAAAGACTCAAGAAGAATTATACTTTAATTTGCTCTTCTTTAATTTGCCTTTCGGTAATAATCTTCACCTCAGCTGTGAAAATTTTAAATACTTTCAACCATATTTGGTATTTTTTCCTATTTTGCATTATATCAATGTCTTATATACATTATATTGGATGAATATGGTTTTTTGAGAGCTTGTATCATGTTTTATAAACATTATAATGGTAAAACACGGTATAAATAATTGGTTTATTTTTTTGAAGTTTTAGCTGATAGAAATTTTTAGTTCATATTTTAGAATCAAATAAAGCATAAATGCAAATTTAGTTATTAACCTATCATAAAAATCACACGACTTGTTATTATAGTCGAATGATCGTTATAATACACTTAAATTTTATAATTAGTTACTAGAGTTATAGATTCTTTATCAATTTTAGCAATTTTAGTAATTTTAGAGGATACATTTTTGTAAAGTTTTAGCAATAGTTAAAAACAACGTTTAAGAAATATTAAGGTCTTAAAAAGTTCGCCTATTTTATTATTATTATCAATTACGCGATCAAAATAATTTAACGAAATCGACATATGAATTTTGAGATCTCGGAACCGATTTAATAATTCAAATTTATCACATTTTAAATTTTTTTAATAAAATTCAAGAATATCAATAAATTGATGTGATAAACTCTCGCATTCTATTTAGTGCCTCTTAAACTTTTTTTTAAATTTTATAATAAAGAATCGATAAAATTTTCAGCTCTAAATTAAATAGCAATCTTTTATAAAGACCTAGAGGTATATTTGTCGGAAGTTTTTGTATAAAATTTTAAACGAGACGATTTATGGTCTGCGCGTTGTTTTAATAAACACAATAAAATGAAATTAACTAATGAGGTCAAAGTGAGTTGTTATTATTATGTGTGCATAATTAGGATTAATGATCAAACTAATGTCAGTTACATGACTACTTACTCCCGTTCGTCGAGTTGGTGTATCAGACTTATCAATAATCAGTTAACCATCAATGTTAATTGTTCCATAATAAATGTTTAATTCAATACTGTAAATTGTTAAAATACTATTAATAAATCCAATTCTTATTTTAGGCTAATTTTACTATAATCGAATCAAATTTTATATCGATATGCATAACGATAACAAAAATACTTAAGAATTGAAGATCGATCGTATGATGTAATGAGATTTGGCATCTATCTTTAACACCCACTAAATCTATTAAAATCCTAACCAAAAAAAAAATACACCTTAAAAAAATTTTTTAAATATCTTTATCGTTATTACAATAAGTTCAATCATCAACCAGTAATGTTTATTAAAAAAATCAAGTATACAAATAATTTACAAATATAAACAAAGAAATTTTTATAAATTAAAATTAAAATTGTAAAAACTAGCGATAGTACTCTACAAGCTATAAATAAATGAAGGATGTAAATCTCCTAAATGAGTAGCATCATCTTCATTAGAACCTTTTAAAAATTTTTCAGGATCTTTAAGTTTACATTTATTAATTCTATTTAATAAGAAATATTGAATTATAGATAAAATTACGGCAAAAATCAAAAGTGATAATGCAACAGCGTGACCAGTTATATAAGTTGGTGCATCACTAGATTTATATATTTGTGCACTTAATACACCACCTATATTTCCCCAAGCTACCACCATCGCACATCCTACGGCACGTTTTGAGTCACCTGCCAGATTATTCGTTAACCTTTTTATCATTTACATTAATGTGTTTGTAAAAATTTTTAGATATTAGTTAATATAGTGAGTATGATTATGTGTTAAATATATACAGTATATATTTAAGAACGTTACCATGTAAGTGATACAGGGATACAAGCAAATATACCCAATCCGACAATACAAATACCAGCGTATTTCACTAAAAGTACAAAAGGTTATTATAGTACAGAAATATTGTTTTGTTATCAAATTAAATATACATAAATAAAACTTACAAACAATACTATCGCTAGGTGCAATGAGTAACGTATATCCAATAATTGATACTAATAAACCAGATATTAAATATGGACAACGAATTCCATACTGATCAGATAATTTTGCTATTAAGATGGATGAAACACATCCAAAAAGAAATGGAGGAGTGGAAAGTAGTTGGGAAATAACTAATAAAATAGTCAAGGAAATAGGTAATAACCAAGAAAATGGTTAGGTAATAAGAATAAATTATATAAATATATCGATTTTACAATATAAACAAGATAAAGCATAAGTTGTTAAATGAATGTTACCCGTATCAAATCCCAGACCATTTACGATTGTTGGAACAAAAAAAGAGAAAGAATATAAAGTAACAAGCAAACAAAAAAATAAAAACATGAATATGTAGATTTTCTAAATAATAAGATAAATTAAATAGGGTTAATTCATATAGATTAAGTAAAAATATTTTTTATAAACATTACCAAATCTTTAAAAGCTTGGATAATCTGATGTTTATCGAAATGAGTTGCATGGGCATGCCCCGCATCAAATCGTAATCGATCAACGGCCAATTTTCGCTCGTCTTCTGTCAGCCAAGTAGCAGTTTCCGCGTAATCCGTGATTAAAAAATAAGAGAAAAATGCAACTATGACTGTCACCACTCCATCAATAATGAATAACTGAGATTAAGAAATGATTTAATAGCAGTAAAAACAACAACAATAATAATAAGTATATTTGATAAAACAGAAATTTTTATAAAATAAACATAAACACTTACCCATTGCCAACCACTCAAACCAAGTTTACCATTTAAATTTGTGATTGAAAATGCCAAAAGACCATTAAACGCGCCAGCAATTGTAGCACCAGCAAAAAATATACTAATTCGATAATTCCGTTCGGATTTCTTGTACCATCTTGTAATATAAAATATGATACCGGGAAAAAGACCAGATTCAAAAGCACCCAATAAAAATCTTGTACCCATCAATTGGGAAAAGTTTTTTACCTTTAAAATAATTAATGATTTTCAAATCATATATTGAGTTGAATTGCAGTATTAAAGTAGCGTAAGTCGACAATGGTCATGTGTACATATATGCAAAGGAGTTAACAATTAATCATCACTTTAAAAATATAGCGTAAGATTCCACGAATTAATTAATATAATAAATCTTTAATACTTACGAATGCCATGGCTATCATTATGACACCCCATATGACCATAAGTGTTGAAACTATAAAAAAAAGGTAGTAATGAGAATAAAATTATACATTGCCAAATGATTAACAAATATTATATAAATACATATATTTGGGTCTTTGCCACCTTCAGACATTTCCGATCGGGTTAATTCAGACAAAAATAAACCGAGTACCGGTTCATGTTCATATGTTAATCATCTTTTAACTTTATTGATTCAATTCAATAGTATATCGAATAGCTATTGAATCAAAGTAAAAGATGATTAACATATGAACATGAACCGGTACTCGGTTTATTTTTGTCGATCAGAAATGTCGGAAGGTGATTTTCAAGGTAAAGACCCATATATGAAACTAACTCCAAATTGAAGGCTTGGTCTTGATTAAAATGATATTAGATGGTACTTCAAATATTACATAGCCTCTGCAAAGTAAAAGGACAAAAATCAAATTATGAAATAAAAAAGCATTCATTTGTCAACGATCAAATAAAATAAAAAATAATAGTATAAAACTTACAAAAAAAATATTCCTAAAGACCAATTATATTCATTGCCAGTTAAATTAAGATCACGTTCCAAATGGGCAAGTTTTGCGTTTCCAATATTAACCCTAGAGTGATAAACAATAAAATTTATGATTATATTATAAAACTTCAAGTTAAAACAAATATATATACCTATCTAAGAAGCTGAGAGTGTAAAGAATCGTAATTAAAGGAAGGATTCTTATATCAATTTTTTGTAATAATATTTCTTCATCATCTATAGTAGTATCACTTGAATTGGTTGTGAAAACAACAGTCTTTTCAGAATCATCGTTTGAATCTCTTGAATGTGTAGACATAATTTGTGATATAAATTTAGATCAAGTTCAAATAAACTGATAACGAAACAGGAGAATAGAAGCTCTGCTATATATGCATATCAAAAAACAGATCATATGATTGCTATTTTGGAAAGATTATGTATTATGCCTTAAAGATCAGCTGTTTACCCCTAGTTTCTAGTTGTTTATACCCCTGAAATTTTAAATATTTTTTTAAAAACTTTGAACCAAGCTATCTCGACAACAATCTAACCAAATTCAATAAAGATACTTTATTGTAATTCTACGAATTTGTAGGATTATCGAATTTGGTTAGGTGGTTAGCGAGATATTTTTACTGAAACTTTAAAATGAATTTAGCTAAGTATAATTACAGGGGGTATAAAAAATAAATTTATTTTAAAATCTAAATATGAATACAGAAGTACATAAATATACTTGCTGTAGGATTATCATTAACCTTTTACGTGAATGTCATTACATGAAATGTCAAAAATATTTCTGAAACTATTGCTATTGTTAAACGCTTTTTGTCGGTAAAGCACGATTACATAATAACTTGCATAAAGAAATTTCCAAAACTATAATTTTTTGCTTGCATATTTGCATGATTAGTTTATGTATAGAATTCATAGAAAGAATCTTTACGACTAAAAAAAAAAACGTTATCTCTTGCAATTTAGACGACCCACCTTAGTAAATGTATTATTAATCAATTGATTATAAACTGGAGTCACTTACATTACAAGAGATTGAATTGTTAATTTGTATGACATTGTTATTGTCGTTATTTATCTAAACTCGTAACAAAAAACTTTGTGATGTATAGTTAACACATGCCCGCTTTACTTCACTAATCAATAGAAATATAGTCATTCTTCTGATTGATATTATTCGACATAGTCTGTTATTATATAATCGTGATGTATTGGCTACATGTATTTCAGGACTTATCTAAGTTCATCTTAATAAATCATGCTTTTTGTGATAAAATGTCATACTTCTGTGCTGACTACTTTACAGAAACTTATAGTTTTTGCTAAATATATTTATTATATAAAAATAATATAATTAAAATATAATTACAATA